TATTTCGTTAATTCCGGGCATGCGCACTCCGCAATTTAAAGGTAATGCAACTTACCGCGTAACGAGGTTTTGTTTGCTTCCCAATGAGCTGGAGAAACTTTGGATCTTCGTAGTGTCTCGCACCAAATTGTCAACGTTTGGAGGTCTGACAAAGTACCTGAGCACACCCGCGTAAAGAAAGAGCAACTGAACGGTAGCTCACCTTTTCTAAAAAAGTGCCCATAAATTCTCAAGTTCTGCAAATATAGATGCTGTTGAACTGAGCACTTCATTATTATACCAAATGCAAAGTAATCATGGACGACCTGAAAATTCCAAGTCTTTTCAAGGCGGTAATTAATCATCACCTCTGTTTGATCAAGCTATCCGCCACCACTGTACATTCAGCAATGACGAAATTGTCACCCATTTTGGTCAAGTTAAATTTTGTTCGGAATGCTCTACTGGGATGCTCATTCTTGGACGCAAAATAGGTTTCAAGAATACTAAACGGTCGTCCTATCATTGGATAGTGTATGCGGCACGACCGTTCTTAGCGCTGTGAAACAGGCAGGTTGCAAGCTTCGTGCCAAATATTTTGATGAAAATGGAAATGAAAGTAGCCGCAAAACTCATGCATTGTGCATTTCGCAGCGACGAATACGGGACCGCTGGTATGATCATTATTTGCTATTGTCTTTGAGCAGCTTTGATAAGTTGCTGGACGGGGAGGCTTTTGGATTTATCGTGCCAAATCGTTCCAGCATATGTATTCGGATACTCTGAAAATGTGTCGGAATACTGAGCGCCCGAATAAGCGCTCGTCTAGTTACTTACATTAAAATTGACAGTTCCATCAACTAGATAAAGATCTAGCATAATAACAGGAGAAAAATTCTCCTCCCACAGTATGCCAATTACAATGACGTTGCGCTCAAATAAAACTGTGTTCTTGAGTTATAGCGGTAGCCGCACCACAAACACGTCACATCATGAACCACATATGCAAGTTATCTTAGTAGGTTTTGTTTATACCGCATTTTAATTCTGGTGAATTTAGCTTTCCGTTTTGATGCAATCTTTATATTATGGGGGAAATCATCCAAATGACTTCCGGGGATGGAGCATAAGGCAACTAATAGCGCTTCTTTAAAACACATCCACTATTCCAGATCAGCGAGGTGCTATGTGGCGATCAATGCGAGGCATGGAAGTTGGCGCGCTGTGCATCATCGCACATTTGAAAATGCGTCAGATCTACTGAAATCACGCAGAAATCATGATTATTTTAGGAATACCCTTCTATTTGGAATAGTGTTGCTTTGCGATTTCCAATGAAAATTAAGGAATAAAAGAACTTTTAATATCACGCATAATTTTGAGTGCTCGCAGAGTATGCCAACTACACCGACGTTGCGCTCACATACAACTGCGTTCTTATAACACCGGCCGGTGCCTGCAAATCCGAGCATACACGTGACAAATGGACAGGTTTTCCGATTTTTTCGTGAAATCGCATTATCATAATTAGAATATTTTTTCAACAATGTTTTTATGCATACACTACCGGAGGCTTTCTAATTCGGTGAACCTGCTAAAAAATACGCTGGCGTTCTGGTCGGTTAATATTGACCTGGGCACATCATTCCGATATAGCAAAATTTCACATAAATGTGACATATGCGACGGGTGCCAAGATATCTATATTAGGCCTGTGATCTTCGCTTCAGCTGCCAAGAATATATGTTACATGTGGCGCCTCGAGAAAGGTTCAACGGCACGGTATAAGTTGAAAACACTCGAGGTTGTTCACTGGGTTCGAAATGTCTCGAAGCTTATGATTATAAATTTCTGTTGTCGATCCGCGCGCATTTGTGTGAGGATGCACGTGTTCTCATTTTGAAAATCTGCTTCAAACCACGCGTCAACCAATGTGGTATCACCAGACGCCCTTGATGGCGCACACATATGGCCTTTTGTTAAACGTCCTTTGTTCGCATAATAATGACAAATTTCATGTATTGATGGCAAAATAGCTATTGGGCGGCGCGAATTTTTGCACTCACTATGTTGCTGAAAGAGGCTGAACGACTTTACAAGCAAAAAACCGGCGCTCTGCCAAACTCTGAAGCTTATGCTGTTCGAATGAAAGAAGGTAGGGTGTTACGGTGAGAATCTAATCCGAATACATATAACTGTCTACGTCAAACACATATACTAGAGAGGAATGCCCGGAAGCCACAGCTCGTTTGCTGTCAGCTGACGGGAGCACGTAGCTTATGCAGCCTATGTGAAACTTTGCGGCGTATTTGCATTACAGTTTCCGGCTTCAGGCTGTCAAAGCTCCGAAGGCACGTTATCTCTACGTCGACACAGAAATAGCAAAATATATTTGGACATCCTAGGGGTTTTCTGAAGGATATGGATCATTTCTGATTGAGTTAGGCACCACAAATACCGATTTTTCCTGGGCGTTTGGTGAAGCAACTATGTTTATGCATAATGAAGTCGCAAGTTCATAAAACCATCCTCAATAACGCGGCCTTTACCTAAGAAGACGTGATTCAGTGTAGCGTATCCAGCAAAACTTTCTTCGTTGGATAAAACAAAATCAAGGCTACGCAAACATCATCAGCTCAAAATTGTTTGTGGGGTTAAAAACGTATATTTGAAGACTTCCGTACCACTAGCTAGAGAAGCATTCCGCTTAGAAGCCATTTGTTAACAGAAGAGTTCCTTCAGTCTGTTCGTGCGGAAACCATACTTCTATTGTGCGCAACGTTTTCGAGAATGTAAATATTCTCACGCGTTTATACTTTATCGTTAAAAATAAGCGTTTACTATCACAAAAATGTAAAAGAACACTGCCAGGCCGTTTCACATGCTCTGTATTAAACATCACATTCGATAATCCGCGGGTCGCTAACTCGAGATGGACACGTACTACCCACTTAACCCATCAGTAGCATATATGTTTATACATGTATAAGGATGCTCACTTTCTACTTCTGCCGCGAACGTTAGACCTTCTTACCACCGACTGCATCAGCAATCAACTGAGTTTGTAGGCTTGTCATTGACCCAACGGCCGATGCTACCTCTCGTCATTACGGAATATATATTTCCGCTTGTTGTCAACGGAAATGATCATTTCGTGACTCGTTTAACTAGTTGAAACCTTTACACACCATCGCGAAACCCATTTCATTTTTTCGGATACCGGGCTATTAGGCTATCCGCCGAAGTATGTCGCTTAACTTGACGCACCGTGTGTATTATCTTGTGAAGTTTGGCGCTCAGCGTCCGCCTCATGATGCAAGAAATCACTGGCAGAACAAAACCAGATTACACGACGTTCCAGGAAATAATGCAAACTATGCCAGCAATCAGTCCATCGAAGTGTCTCTGGAACGGCCTACACTGATATTCTCTTTTGAATGTCTCAGTACGCGTTTAATTGAAAAAGGTGACCGGCATCTTATGAAATGCAGTTACCTGCCACCGAATGTGCCCCATCTTCACCGAATCAAGATCGATGACCAGGCTATTGGCGAAAATCGTGATATTTTGAGCCCCCTATTTGGCCTTTTGTCTTGACGGCCATTCAGTCAGGTTATGTCGCCCCCTGATAAAATTCTGGATCGTAAATACTGTTGCATCCGGATTGCACAAATTTGACATGACAGGATGTGATTTGAATGTCCTGAATACTCAGTGGTTCTTGGGAGTGTTTCTTGGGGGTCCACGGGACTTTTCCCAGCGCTTCACGACTGTGGCAGCCATTTAAAACAAGATGCACAGAAATCACATGAGTGTAGACTCGGTGTGAATGCGTTACAAGGCGTAACCTATGACTGCCGGACAATTGGAAGCTTTTTTGCATATAGCACACTGATTCAGACAGATGGGAAAACCAGTGTTCTTCCATGAGCTCATAAGTGCATGGTTCTTATTATTCGGGCGAGGCGTAGATGTTGCGCCTATATAACTCCTGTTTTCTCTCTCCGGAGGGAAAATAATCATTGGCACCTGAGGTGAAACGCCAAGTTTTGCCACATGTATATAGGGAGCTTTATATTTTACCGTATTTGTTAACACTGGCAGCCAAATCGAAAATTTTATCCCCTAATTAAGATCGAAAAAGGCCGCCATAAAAACCCCTGATTATGTAGCGCGTTCCTGTGTTTCGTTTGCATTTCTCTGAATAGTACGTAAGGTAAGCGCATTAGCAACTCAGCACGTATCATGATAACTGATGAGGCCATCTGCCATCCCGGCGATGGGTGCGGACTTAACGCCCGTGTGCCCTTGTCTCTGGTGCAACCGAAACGACCGGTAACTGCAGTCATCAAAATAATTTTTGGATTTCAATCCCACAATGGTTTTACCGACGGTTGTATTGACCCGCAAACTAAGGAGAAGGAGCCCGCTACTGCGTCGCCCAACCAGAAGAACTGGGTTATTGTTTGCTATCCTCAGCGAAACATTTTCGTTCAAAACGTTGAATATCCCTAACTTTTTCATGTCCCATATAAATGAGCTAGATCATTTTAACTTTCGCATTCGCAGGACCTCAATTGTTCGGAAGAAAGAAGTTATGCACTCTTGTCCGTGGGTTCTTCTCTGGCACCAGGAACTTGAGTGGGAAAAGCCTTCAGACAAGAGTTTCCTTGTTTGTTTTTGTTGTGCGCTAGTCAAATTATTAACATTTTGTGTACCCGTCTGTCGAATTACAAAACAATATTGTACTAAATCGTGTTTGCTCCTAAGATTTAAGGAAAAATTTTTATAATGCCGAAAGTGCGATGTACATTGCTAATCGTCCTTCTGATTTAGATGTGGTGGTGCGCCCAACAGTGCACCAGACTGTAGCCTAACGTTTGCCGAAAGCCAAGTATTATTTTAGTAAGTAACCAGTCACCATGGGTTCACAGATGATGATAGCAATAATATAACTCGGAAGGTATATAAGTTAAAAATAGGTTTTATCACGTTTGACAGTGGGGAGTCGCAACACATACAAAGTGAATACAAAGCGGAATGTGAAGCAACTCAAATGGGCGTCCTTGCGTTTGCGAGGGTCCTTTAGTGAACGCCCGGATGGCGGAACGTGTTTCCTTTGCAGACATAGTTGCAACAAGTATTCGTCCCTCGACTGTGGACTTGTGGAGTTTGGCTGGCTCCTTGCTCCGTGCGTGTGCGAGTCCGTGTCGAATGTTGCGTGTCAAATGTTTGTCAGGTTTTGTCCTTATATACATCTAGTGTTCCGTCAACAACGTGAAATCACGCTGACGGGCAATGCATGCCGTCGGCGTAGCCCAGTGCTATACCTCGCAGATTTCGGAAGGCCTCCGAACTTTTGCCTTCTGAACTCCTGCACAGACGCCCTGATAGCGGTTGCCTTTTACCTTCGTAAAAATTAGGTGAGCATTGGCTTTATTAGTAAGTATGAGAAATGTGTTGACTTTAAGTTTCAGACTTGTTTAAAACACGCTTGCTCGCAACATACACTACAGTTAAAAAACTGTTACGGGTAGCGTATCCCTCTAACTGGAACACGTTTGTTGAACAATGTACTCTCTCATTGTGACACAGAATCCGTCGAAGTCTGTTGATAAGACAACGAGGGAAATCCGCGTTCCGATTATTGGAAACGTGCCTGTGGAAACCGTTTGAGGCCTATTTTGCACGCACCCGCTGCTACCCATTGTGCATCAAGCAAGCGCAATAAAAGTCTTGGGCATCTAATAGCGAGCTACTTATAGTTCCTTGCTGATTTAAGGGTACTTAGTTGCAATAACTTGAGCATTTTGGAAATGTGGCCATGGGTCGGTGGATATGACAAGCCATAGTGTAATCGGCATTAATGCCGTGAACTGATTTTCTAAACAAATATTCAGTATGTACATATATGACAAATAATTATCTGTCTCAATGTAACCTAGAAGATTTTTATCCTTGCGTATTATTACGTTGAGCCGTAGTGCACATACAATTGGTTGTGTCTGACAGCGCATGGTGTAGGCACTGTGGATTGATGTCATATTGCCTATTCGGGGATTATTTTTCTCAACCGACAAAATCAAAAATGTTATGGGGATACAGTCTGTAAAAAGGGCAAATATTTTGAACCCGACAGGTTTTATAAAGAATCCAAATAAGCGTAGGTTTTGGGCAAGCATGATAAATATGATAAACAGCTTTCATTAGAATCTTACTTTCACGGTTTGTTCATGTGGTGAACGCATGACCAAAATGATTGGAAAATTTCGTCTGGTCTTTTGGACAGTTCACCTCATATTTAACCCATATTTTTAAACATATATAAATTTATATCTATATGTAATACTTATATTTAATTATTGTATATTTATATTTATTAATTTTATATTTATATATGGTTATATGTAAAACACTTAGCTTAATCAAGACCCCGTATATGAAAGGTAATTGTCTGTAACATTTGGGATGATTTGTTTCGGAAACACTTCGCGTTACCCATAACAGCTCACTGAAATCTTCAAACACCTAGTCAGAGATATCTGTTTTCAACGCCGCTGGTTCACTGTGGTATTAGTTTAATGGTTTTAAGTGGGCCACGATACCGTCAGGGCGCCCCCATCTAAACAGGAGGACGTTAAGTGTCGCCAAAAGAAGACTTTGGCGCAATCACAAGGCGGAGTTGGCTGCCTGAAAATGCGAATTCATTACCAGTTTTATGGAACAAGACGCCACATACTCCAAACTTCAACATCAGTTGGCAAGAGAATGTGTTTCCATACATGTAACTATTGAACAACCTATTACTGGATACACATGAGTGCCGCACGGACGTCCACCAGAACAGCTTAATCAATCCCTGAGGTGCAAAAACCGTCACACCAACTTAAGGTCCAGTTTCTTCGTGACGGATTATATCGATAACAATAAGGGTCACTTTTCTTGAGATTTTTTGTTTGTTCTACTGCTCACTGCATGTTTCAACTCGAGGTGTGATACTGTGGCCAAACGTGCCGCGTTTAGTTGCAAGAATTATCAATAATCCAATTGAATGGAATTAAGTTTATCGATGAATTCCATCTATTTCGACTTTAGATATGTCTTGCGACTAAATACCGAGAATTAAGCTCGGATGTCAGCCCTTGACTTGAAACTTACAACAACAATTTGACAATTATGAAATCTCATGAAAAGGGGGGCTTTTGGTATCGTTGCAGGCATTTTGATAGCGCTCCTTTTCGGCTTACTATTCTTTGACGGTTTATTTTCCATTATAACTTCCCAACTTTAATACGGAATACCAAGGTATAATGAGTGTGGAACGAACATTTGTTCATCTCATCACGTTTTTTTGCCCACTTTCAAAGCACACCGAGATTTGTTCCGTTGTTCTTTTTTACTTAAATACAGTATACTACATCCAACTTTGCTATTCAGCCACACCGAGCTAGCAATATTTAATCACCGTGGTTGTATCCATATGGATGATTTTGGTCCCCGTGGTTTGCCAACTATCAAGTTATGCATTGGCTTGGAACGATACATGTGGGAAATCAGCTAAGTTTCTCTCTCCACAAGAAAGGGATCGAATAGTAAATTTGGGGCAAGTAAAAACGCCAAATCCCACTGGCTTTTCAAAGGTTACAGCTGGTCGCCGGTTGACCCATGTTTTGCTTGAACGAGCTATGCACGATGGAAAAAAATTAAATTTCAATGGGAGAAATAAATGAACATCTTTTAGCAGGGTTGCTGATTACTGCTAGATAAACCGCGCTGGCTTTTTTATCTAATCGCTGGTCTGGATTGTTGTATTAAAAATATCATGTTGCCTTGATGTACATTTGAACGTCTCTTGAGGCTTTAGTAGTTTTCACACAGTATATGACCGTTGTAAATCGATTGCTAGGAAAGAGTTGATATTTTTATTAGATTGGTCACCATGTGATGTGACTAGCGTCACGATTATAATATACCCTCCCTGGTTGGATCATTTGGTGACTTCACTTTGAAATTGCATCCTTTCCCTCGTGGTTTCGCTTTCTCATACAATAAGATTTTCACGAATGCGTGAAAATCTCACCTATCGAAATATCTCCAGGTTAGGCGTACCATGTGGTGTGTTTTCTGCGAGATCACTGCAGAATTGTACGTGGTGTCACACGCAAGGATTAGAAAATCTGGACTGTTAAATTGAGTTGTTTGTCCTGGTCCAAAATATCGAGATTGCGCAAAGCACTTGAAATACAAATATAGAAAATACCTTCAATGCAACCCGCGTGTTTTTTCCATGGCTCGTGCGAAAAGGCATAATCAACTTTTGAAATGGCATTCTGTTATTTAACAAATTGCATTATGACCCGGTCAAATGAATTTACCTTGGGACGTCGTTGCTTTGCGTGTGCTAGGTTCATCGAACATAGAAGCGGTTGACACATTACATAATTCTTCACCGCGTCTCACACCACACCATGCTCTGCTTCTTGTGCGAATCCAAGACTGCTCATGTTGAATATCCCTCTTGTTGTACGCACAGCTACTGCCGCGAAAATGATATACTTTCGGGTGTGAAAATGCCGAGGGCCTAGCGAGCATTATACATTTGACAAACAAAACAGTAGGAAAATTCTTCGGCCACGGTCAAATCAAACATAACGCTATCTCCCTCCAGCATTCATTGATTTTCTGTATTTTCTACATTTCTACATTTACACGTAACTGGTCTGTCATTGTTACATTTCACTCGAAAACGTATTAAGCCGATGGCACACGCGGCTGTACGTCACGCTGTTGCTTGGGCACTATTTGCGCCACGCGACATTTTCTCATCTAGATCTGCAGAGATTTTCTTTTAGGCAAAATGCGCGATCTCGTGGTCCCTGCAACTAGCATCAGGTTTGTCCATAGTAGGTTATCCCTAGAATCATTTCTACCTGGTGGCTAGCAAACGTCGGCTCAAATGACTATAATGTGAAGTTGATGTGGAATATTTTTCAATGTGCTCATGCTGCCGCGAGACTAGTGTCGTTTTCCGGTGGCCGCTTATGATCACCGGGTAATTTGTTTACATATGCCGACAGACACGGAATACGTCAACGGTCTGACTGATCAGGCTGTCCTCGAAACAACGTTTAACAGAGTGGAATCCTCCATCAACCTCGTGTTTTAGAAATATGATGGCATAATTGTCCCTTGAAGATACGTCCATGCCTGACGCTCGAAAATGCATGAAGACCGTAAAACGACAACGCAAGTATGTGTAACGCAACAAATCACTTAGAAAGCATACAGCCGTTCCATCAAGAAGCTTCAAAATAGTTTGATTAATCAGTTGTTGCTTTTCGGGTTCTCTACGATAACCAGAATAATACCGCTATGAGATATTCAGTGAATTTGTGGTGGATGTTCAACCAAGTGAAATTTGCATAGAGCAATATTGATTGTGGTGTCTTCACGATGGCTCCCACAACTTCGAGTTCCTGGAATCCACTAACACACTACAATTGATAGCTGTCTCGCTAGGCGTTCACTTTCTGGATGAACTACGACCAAGTGCATTCGGAGTGGGGAGCGCTGAGCAAATGTGCTACTGGTCTTCGGAAAATTGGTTTCAGCCCACGGAAGCTGCATATGAATCCGACCATTGTGGAGGGCTTATGATGGCGTAATGATGCTTCTACATTGCAGGTGTGTAGCGACGGGCGTGATCAGTGGCTGCTGAAAACTTTTCGAGTGTGAATGTGGAAAGCGCACATTACACCGTTAATCTGCTGGGCCGGAGATTCTCACGTTTAGCCGATGGCCGAAATAAATAGGGCAGATTGATGTGGATCGTTTTTTGACACTTTCTAACTCCAAAGGTAGAAGATTGCATCCGAACACTGCACGTCATCATGCACATATGTCCGCAACGTGCAGTATCACAGCCTGAAATCTTGTCTTAAGCTTCATGCATAATTTCTCATAACTTTGATCCGGCGTCAGTCCATTTGTGTTGCTTCTGCCATGCTGAAAAATAGCTACTTGGTTTGTATTCCTAACACGAGGACATTCCGATTGGATTGTGGGAAAAGGTCACTTAAAGCATTCCGAAGAGAGGGTTCGTACACGTACGAATATTGTTCAGTGTTATGGAAATTTTTATGAGAGATGATTTCCCGCGCCACAATAGTCACTTCACAAATTTCGATATGTTTACTGGCGAACTTTGAATTTATACAGTTCGTCGGTTCCCCCAGCAGATGCCACCTCGGAGCGATGC